AAGTCAAAAGACCTTGCTAAACCTTGATTCTGAGAGCCTGGAGCTTTTTTTATTAACTGTAGAATGTTGATGTGAGATCTTTTTCAGTTGAAAGTAGGCTAAGGTGATGGAATCTGCTTTTAGGAAGACTCTTTGTTATTAAACAGCCTCTTAAATTTGTGTTTGCAAGACTTATCAACATTGAAGAAGTCTACAACTAGAAGTGAAGGTGTAGTGTGGGGGAGGCCGTTCTATTAGTTGGAGGAGAATTTTGACCAGTCAGGAAATATAAGAGTGATTATCCTTGAAGAAAAGCTTTTTGAGAAACGTTTTAGTTCGGTCTGGTTTGGATTCTATTTCTTTGTCTCTTATTAAATCTAGTTTTCCACCATCAAATTGTTTTTCCAACATTTTACCCAGAGAGATCTGTTCTTCCCAGGGACATACAAATAGCTATCTGGAATTCAAAATACCCGAGAAAGTGAAAGTTTTTATATGGTCTCTGACTCTTGATGGGTTAAGCAATATGGATAAAATTCTGAAAAAGTCTTTCGCTTGTCTTGTCCCTAATTTGTCTGTTTTTGTGATGGGATGCATCTGAGAATGTTAACCATTTGGTTTTTGGATGCAATGTAGGGAAAAGTTTCTTAAATCCTTTTAGTTGAATTGGGGGCAGACTCCTCGGAGAAAATTCTTTAGGGGTGTCATTTTTAGAAAGAAAGCCAAAATATTGTGATTTTGTGCAACAAAAGCTCTTCTTTTGAAGATTTAGTTGTGGAGAAACAGAATTTTTTAAGATAGCAGTGAAAACTGGGAGGACATTTGAAAAAAAAAAATTAGAATTCGAGTTTCTTCTGGTGTACTCTTCTGGTTGATTCAAAATTTCCTTATAGAGGCAATTCAGATGTAAACCTGTATAAACATTGCTCTCTTTAGGATGGCAAGAAAGCTATAGCCGTCGATCATGTTTTCCTTAAGCAGCTCCATGATTGTTACCTATGTAGCTTGTTAAGCATAAAGATCCATCATACATATGGTTTGGCATTATAGTTATGGTATTTGGAAAAATGTGCTCTTTTATGTGAACAATCTATCTATTTCAAACGTTTCAAAATATTAACAATATTTTATTTCAATATCAAAGTTAGAGGAGCCTCGGAAGACCTCGAGCATTTGATGTGGTCTTCTCAGTTTTGCTCAGAATCTTTGGCGTCATTTCTTTGGGTGTTTTGAAGTGGCGTTTGCCCTTAGTAGGGATTGTAGAGCGATGTTGGAGGAGGTACTTTTGTTCCCTCCTTTCCATGATAAGGGTCGTTTCTTATGGCTGGCCGACTTTCTTGCTACTTTGTGGGGTATTCGGTTGGAGAAGAACATTAGAATTTTTAGGGGGGGTGGTAAATCCCGTGGATTCGGTTTGGGATCTTGTAAGGTTTAATACTTCTTCGTGGGGTTCAATCTCTAAGGCCTTTTGTAATTATCAGTTAGGGTGTTCTTTTGGATTGGAGCCATTTTCTTTAATGGACATCCTCTTTTTGGGCTGTTTTTTGTATGCCCTTCTTGTTCTTTTCATTCTTCTCAATGAAATAGTGGTTTCTCATAAGAAAAAAAAGGTCGATATATTAGCTGATTCCTTATTCCCTTTACCTTGTTGTACCTTTTTTTTCTGATACGAATGATATTTGAGGTTTCCTCTTAAAAGAATTCTATGTACTATCAAGTGGCGGTCAAGAACAGATCAAATGAAATAAGATGGCGTTTTTTTTTGTTGTTAAGACTGATTGGACCAGTCATAAATATAGCTTTCTCGATGAAATCTTATTTCAAGTTAGTTAGTTCCTTTTTTTTTCCTCCCAAAAATGAATTTAGCACTTTAAAGCAATTATTATCATCTTTCTGGTGTTTTCTGCTCTTATGTGTTTTGCATACACCACCCGCCCTTCTTCCTGAATATGAATACCAATTGTTTTCTGTAGAGGATTTGGTACTTGTATTAAGAAGATATCTGGTTTAAAGGGGTGCAATCTAAGATGATTTTTTATTGATGTGCAGGACATTGCATCAAAAGTTATGGCATTCTCACAGACTGGGCCACGAACTGTTTGTATTCTCTCTGCCCACGGTGCTGTCTGCAATGTTACTCTTCACCAACCAGCAATGACAGCTAGTAGTGTAACATATGAGGCAAGTTTTTAATTTCTCTTATTGACTTTTGAAGAATTGTAGCCATCGAGTTATGTTGGGCATGATTTTGATAAACTGTACATGCCAAATCATCAACTTCCAAAGCGTAGAAAGATCCATATGTGAGTGTTGCATAAGCGTATGTATAACTTCACGTCATATTTTTTTTTATTGATGTTGTACTCCCTCGTATACTCTTTAGTCTTTGAAGTTGTTTTTTTTGGGAGCGTGAGACCACTTTAACACTTGTAGATTGTAATATTACTCAGGCTAGCTATCTTGCTCTCTTAACCTTCTCGATATTTTATCGTATTTTTTCTTTATTATTTTTAGGGTAAATTGTACAAATCACCTCGAAGTAGAATAGTTGTTACAATTACACCTTTAAACTTTCAATTGTGAAAATTAAACCCTCAAACTTTAAAAATTTGATTTATTTTATTCTATTTTTCTCCACATTTTCTCCTTTCTCTACTGTCTCTCTCCTTCCCTTCACATTACCAAAAATTGTATGGAATATTTTTGGGGAGATTTTTGGTAGCAGTTGAGAGAAATACGGGAGTTGGTTATTCCGGACAATGCCTGCCCATGGATTTTGGGTTTACATGGTAGCTTCTTGCTTCCATTACTACGTCAATGACCATAGCTGGACAAGGTGCTGATAAGCCTGGTTTTGATGAGGGGAATAATAGACTCCCTCTCCAAGACTTCCTTCTCCTGGTCATTGTTCGAAAACCTCAAAAATCAAAGCGAATACCAATTATTTGAATTACCAGTTCGTGATAGACGAATCAATGATCATTGTTCGGAACAACTGATTCCATCTCTATTTCTCTCGAGGGTCTCACCACAAATCTTTAATACAATTATTCGTAATGATGAAGGGAGGGAGAGTAGAAAAATGAGGAAACGTGGAGAGAAATAAAGTAAATAGATATAATTTTTTAAAGTTTAAGGGTTTTATTTTTACTATTTTCGAGTTTGAGGGTCATTTAATTGTTCTATTGAATATTTAGGGGTCAAATTATTTTACTTATGAAAGTTTGAAGGTTTAATTTTTACAATAGAAAGTTTGAGGGATGTAATTGTAACAACTACCATACTTTAGGGGTTTCTGCAATTTACCCTTATTTTTATTTACTAAAAATCAAGATTTGTTTTTACATTTCAACATAGTTGGTCACCCATTGATTGCGCTGTATAGTGGTGATGATAACTTGATAAGTAAAGCTCTTGCCTTTTACAGACATTGCTGTTTCCATGAACTATACAAAGAAGAGGCATGTTTCTCCTAAACAGTTCCCATCCTGAATTTTTATTTTTGAGTTTATTCTTTCCAAGTGGGGAATAGAGCATAACTATAGCTTGTTAATAAGAAAACTGTGACGTAGTTTGTTCTAGTAATAGTAAATGCATGGAGTTGGTGATCACTGACCCAGCAGTTCCGGCTTATCTACAAGGAGGCTGTGTTAATTACTTCTGTTTTTAAGTATGTACTTTAAAATATTTCATCTGTTTCTTTCCAAGCCTTCAAAAGGTAGTTGCACTGAGAAATCCCCTAGGTTTTTGGGAGCACACCAGGAGAGGTTGAAGGTAGATGTCAAGCTATGTTACAAAGCTGGGGCAAGGAAGAGAAAGAACAAATGATTATTTTCACTCTCATTCTCGCATAGCACACAGCATTGACTAGGGGCTGATAATAGTTAAAGATTCCTTCATTATTTTCAAGCTAGGCTGATAATAGTTAAAGATTCTGTAATTTAATTGAATGAACGAGCAAAGACTTTGATCTTCTAAGGACTGTGTATGGCTAACTGAAACTGTTTAACTTTATTCAGAGAAGGTTAATTCTTGGTGAGAGATCTGAAAATGGAGCTGCAAGAGGAGAGCAGAATTTCCAAGATTTGGTGATCTGGAATCTGCAACCCGATTGTGGAGAAAATTATTGGCTCTTAAAGACCTATATCAGCTCATAGGATTTTAGTTAATAGGAGAAGGTAATTAGAGAGGTATGGGATTCATTTGTTATCTTTCGCACCTTCCTTAATTTTTTAACTATCAAAATGTTTTATTCTAGCTATTAGAGTGTCTGTTTTTCCTATTTGCAAAAGGAGGGGGAGAAGGGCTGTCTCAACTGGGGTTATCGAAGTTACAAAAGAAAAAGAAAGAAAAGAAAACTTCCCAATGAGCACAAAGAATAGGCTACCCACAATTTCGGAAAAATGGTTTAGGAAGTTTGCACCAAAACAAAGCCACAATGTATGCTTCCATAACTCGAAACTTGAAAGGACTCACTTCTCCAAAAAGAAGTCTGATTTCTCACTAACAAAAAAGGTCCATTCAAAAGCTCTTTATATTAATCATAACTTAGCTTCAGCTTTAAAGGATTGTCCACTGATGCAAATGTCGAAAAGGTTAGTGGTATTACTGGGACAAACAGACATGCCATCTGAAAGGTAACTCTTGAGGATCTTTCTTTGCACTTGGTCGTGTGTATGCTACTCAAGGAAAAGCATTTAGATGAAGTCATGGAGATCTTGACCTTCTTAGGACAAGTGCCATTCAAAATCCACTTGGAAATGGATATTCTTTGCAAATCTTTAAGGAGATTACCCGTGAATTTATACCAGTAGAGTCTTAGAGCCATATACGAATTAGGGCAAGGGTCACTAATGAGATCCATGAGAGAGGTCTACTCTGCAATTTCTTTCTCGGTTATTCAAGTTTCTTCTTTTGGAGAGTGTTTATTTGTTTAGATACCAAATCATAGACAGAAACAGAAACTAGGCATTACAAAAATGCTCTCTTATTAAATCTTTAGACAGAAACAGAAATTAGGCACTACAGAAGTTCTCTTATTAAATCTTAGACAGAAACTAGGCATTACAAAAATGCTATGTCAAAAATAATAATGGATATTACTGAGCTCCTTTTAGACTGAGGTCTGAAGAGAGGCCACAGAACTATTATTTTTTTAAAAAAATTCTATATTAAAAAAATCTTCATCCTTTTCAAATCTCCCATAAGGTTGGCACCATTGTATTGTATTCCTCCAAATAATCTGATTCAACTGATTATTGCATGTCAGAGTGATCGCTGAAAATTGGTAATGCAACTATTGAGCTGCAGAGATGCTCTTACCGTGTTACCGTATGCTGAACTGATACCATCACCTGAATGTTTTAACTTGGGTTTGACAAAAGAAGTTTTGGTTGGGCTATCCGAAGGAATTAGAATACTCTGTTTACCATTCTCCTTGACTTGAACAAAATAATGTATGCATCTTCCATAAGCAGCATTAAAGAATGCATTGTCCAACTAATGCTCGGTCATTATTTTAAAAGGAAAACCAAGGTGCTTTGGTTGAATGGTATTAGTGATATGCTTTAGAATATCTGCATGAATGGAACAGAAGAATGTTCCATGGGATTGCGATGCCTATGGATGAGCATTGGGACTCCGATATGTTTGTTGCTTCTTCTTGAGTTCTTGGTATATTTTCGTTAACCTTTTTTGTAATTATTCTATTTATTATTGCCAATTGGTAAGCTTTTTGTATTCTGTTGGCTTGATTGTGAGGGCTTTAACTTTTTGTACATTTTGTTTATCAATGAAATATGTTTGAGAAGGGAAAAAAAAAACAAGAGCACACACAAAACTAACAACCCAATTTGTTTTTCTCTAAAATTATTTTTTGTTTTCTTTTTAATTAATGCGAGCATTTGTTTCTGTCAAATGATACCTAACAATCCACATTTCTTGTGCATAACCAAAACCTTAAAAAATTGTCTATTGGTCGTCTTGACTCGTTAATCCTGAAAAGCAAAGGAATGAAAACCTATTGTAGCTATATTCTTTCCTTTGTACACAAGGTGTCATCAATTCTATTGCTTTTAAATCTAATGCAGGGCCGATACGAAATCATCTCTCTATCAGGTTCCTTCTTGATTTCTGACAGTAATGGTAATCGAAGTCGAACTGGTGGTTTAAGCGTATCCCTAGCAAGTGCAGATGGACAAGTTCTTGGTGGAGTTACCAATATGCTAACAGCAGCATCTACAGTTCAGGTACTATGGCCTACTGTGTGCAAATCAGGATGTCGGTTAGCTTGATATTATGTAATATTTCTTCTGTTAGATGGATTGAATGCTGTCTTTTTGGTTGCTTAACTTATCTTCTAATATAAATTTGACAATACCAGTGAAGAAGAAACAAGTTGGATTTTGTGCCTCAAACCATGTCTTTGTTGCACCAATCAGGTTATAGTGGGTAGCTTCCTTGTGGATGGGAAAAAACTGGGCTCAAGTATACAGAAATCTGGTCCATCTTCTACATCACCTAATATGTTAAACTTTAGTGCACCTGCGGCAGCAGCCTGTCCCTCTGAAGGTGCCTCAAATAATTCATCAGATGACAATGGCGGTAGCCCTTTAAGCCGGGGACCTGGAATGTACACCAATGCCAATCAACCAATTCATAATATGCAGATGTACCAATTATGGGGTAGTCGAAATCAATAATGAAGATGCTTTTACCAACTTAACAGTGTAGCACATTGGGGTCAAAGTGGTTAGTGTTTTGCATCCCGATGTATAGAGGTTAGTTCTGGATTCTGTCCCTAACATCCATTGTTGAAGCCTCATCATAACTTTTCTAGATTAGAATCTTTATTGATCGTTTAGCTGCTCCTGCTGGTTAGCTTTATTTCTAGTCAGTTAAAATTGTCTACTTTTAACATTTCTCCATGAATGTGGAACTTCTTAAGATTGGTAAATCATATCAATTCGAATGTCATTATTGTAGAGGGGAATCTTCAATCTCTTTGTCTCATGGATTAAGGACAATCTAATCATCAAATGCATCTTGTGATGCATCGTCTAAACCGTAGTCAGTACCAAGTTTTAACCTTTTTTTTAGCGTCTGGCCGGCCTGGGCAGTGGGCACACCATTAGTTTTAACCCCTTGTGGCTTTCTTTACCATTCTTGTTTGGAAAGGTCATGAAGTCGGGTCGATCTGATTAACATTCTGTTAGGTGGTACTGAACCCTCTCTTGTAATTGTAAGAGATCATTCTCAAGGGAGCAATGAAAAATAAGAGGAAAATAGGACAAGAGATGTATATTGTGCTCGCTTGTTCAATTACTTCGGAATTTATCACGAAGAAATTGGAGATTCTGTGAAAATTATGTTTCTGAAATTCTCTCCAATGATACAAAATCCTAAAAATAGTTTCAAAAGGAATAAGAGGGAAAGGTTTGCCACTGTCAACTATGACAATTTGCATTAGTGGCCAATTCAGTGAAGTTCTTGTTATTTATTATAGCACCATTTGAGTTCTTGAATAGATGCATTTGGGGAGAGTTTATTATTTGTGAACTTCCAAATTGATTTGTGGAGATTGTTTCTTTTTTCTTTTTTTAGTCAAACCATGAAATTTAAAATCTATTTTTTTCTTTCTTCCTTCTTTTTTTTTTTTTACAAGTGGGGGTTGGGGATTCAAACTCACGGCCTCTTGCTGGTCAAAGACAGGTGCCAATTACTGCCGAACTCTAAGCTCATGTTGGCATTTAAAATCTACTGATTAGGGGATCTAGATCGAGAAAAATAATAGAATCTTTAGGGGTAGAGATATATAAGGAGTATGTTTGAGAGCCTCTGATTTAATACTTCCCTGTGGGGTTGGGATCTTATTAATCAATACTTCTTCGTAGGGTCAGTTTCTAATTTTTTTTCGTAATTATCATTTAGGTCTTATCCTTTTGGATTGGAGTCTCTTTCTTTAGGTGGGTCTCTTTGTAGGGTTAGGTTTTTGTTTGCCCTTGTATATTTTTTCTTTTTTGCATCTCTCTAAATGAAATCTCGATTTTTCCTCAACTCCTGATCGAAGTTAAGGTTAAGTTAGCCCATAGAACTGAATTACAAACACAAAAAGAGTGGGTAGAAGAGTATGCCAAATAGAGGCATTAAAATGGGCCAAATCCCATTTTTTCTCCCTTCAAGAACTTTGAAGTTTCTTTCTAATTTGACTGAAAGATGCTCTCTTTTGTACTGCTGAAAGGCTGGAGAAAGTTAGTATTCATTCAACGTTTGATTTTATAATCTTTGTCTAAATTTCACAGCTAAGGAATGCCATGCCACCTATTTTATTTTTCCTTATCTGTCTATTAGTGAGGTCATTGTTGGTATATGCTTTTAGAAACATGACATCTTGAAGTTTTTAAAAATATATTCAACTATTTAAAAACAAATAAAGTATCCAGTTTGACACGCAATATTAAATAAAAAATGCAGGTAACTCTCGACCGACTATGGTCACATCCATCATATATTCTCGTCATCTTTCTCGCTATTAGACCTGTAGAAACAGTATTTGAAATGAGGACTAGAATGTAAAAATGGTACTTTATGTGCGTACTAAATGAATTTTTCTAGTAGTTTTCTTATCGTAAAACAATTATATGCGATACGACTATATTTGTCAAATATATTCATTATTATTACATGTCATTTTGTGCTTAATTAACTAGTTCGGGGCTAACTTGACTCCAACTTTTTCTATAAATCGAAGGTTTGAATTTTCATCTTCACTAATTATCTATTTTACTAAAAAGCATATGGTTCTCGAGCATTATTAACTCACAATACTTGCAAATATCATAAGGGAGCTTCATGTTTGAAACATAAATCCACATATACGTTACAACACCTCGAAACTCTTAATCTGCTCACTTTTTAATATTTAAAATGAGGAAAAATTTTTTTAGTTTTACCCATCTTGAGGGTAATAGTGTTGTTCGTCAACTGGCTCATCCTGTTTTTTCCTCAATCGGGTTTGGGTCGAGGCAGGGCCGCTGGACATTTCATGAATGGTTGCTGATGATTGTTTTTTGTTTTTTGTTTTATTTTTTTTCCTTCTTTTTCTTAGTATTGGGCTTTGCTCTAAAAAAAAGAAAAAAAATAAATTGGGTAATTTTATATTTAAAATTTAAACCAAAAAGGTTGTCTCTCTAGTTTCTGTTTTCTGCCATCCAATTTCTTAAATTTTGAAATTTGGCTTTCAACATTATTGTTTATTTCTACGGCAGGTTATCAAATTTTGTAATTTTTTTCCATTTATATATATAACATTGCCCCAAAAGAAAATTTGGGGCTGTCATTAACCCATTAAGAAGCTATAATTATAATCCATGATAACAAAAATTTTTGATTAATGTAACATGTTTTATTTATTACACCGAACTATATATAGCATAATCAAGATTTTAAACAGCCAATGTGAATAGAAATGCAGAGGTTTCAATTTTATAAAAATATTGATAAAATGTTGATCCTGATTGATATTTCTAGGAAAAAAATTTAAAATGCACAACAAATATTTAAATTAACACATGGCTGATATTTTGTTATTATATATATATTTATTTGTCAATTTTTTTCGATATTATGAAAATATCATTTACCTCTCATATTAGTGTCTAAGTTTATAGACATGGAAATATCAATAAAAAAGTCGGCATGCTGATGGAAATTTAACACTGATACTTGCTATAGTCATTGTCTGTCAATAAGATTGGAAAATGTAAAATTATGATTATAATAATAAAATTAGAGAGCTTTATTATAAATTATTGAAAGTTGTGAAAGGTATTATTCTTTTTTCTGTTTCTTTTTCTTTAAATTTGGAATCAAATGAGTTTCATATTCCCAAAAAATATATATTATATGATAATTGGTTTTCACCCTCTATAGCAGTTTCCAATGACGACATCAGCCACTGTGAAAATTAATCTGCTTTCTCTCAATATTTTAAGGGAATAATTTTAGTTGGGTTTGGTCTCATATCCTTCTAATTTAATTCATATAAACCTTATTTTAGTTCTCCAACTTTTCCAATTAGTATGATATATTTATTCTATATTCATCTTAAATTTTTATTTTTGATGTTAATATAAGAAACTATTTTAGTCTCTATCCTAAATATATTCTAAATAATTTATTAAAAAATTTGAGAACATATGTCATTTGTTTATTCCTTCGTCGACAGATATTTAAACTCTATTGGTAATGAAAACCAGTCAAATTTTTTTAAAACGATGGAAAATTAATGATAGTATCTAAAAAGTTCTGAGGATTAACATAAAAAATTAGAAGTTTAAGAAGCAAAGTAGAATAACATAGAAAATTTAGAGATATGACGGAGGAATTGAACTCAATTAATATCAATATGTATTGCCATTAAACCATCTGCGACTCAATTTGGAAGTGGTTTAAGATTTATATTAAATATAACACAAAATTACCAAAACAGAACTTTCGTTAGTGATTAATTAAAATGGAATATGTATCAAAGTCTAGATGATGAAGTAAGATTGAACCATAGAAAAACTTTGGCATTTTGCATTTCAAATATAAATAAATGTAAGACCTTATTTCATGTAGTTTACGCGATTGGGTTTTAGCAAAATATTATAATTGAAGTTTGTCCCACATCAGATATACGAAGAGAGTGTGTTCACCAAATATTAGAAGTTGTCCCACATCGGACAGGTATAAAGAATAGGCAATTTTCTTATTGTTTATTTTCTTTTCCCTTCAAATTAATGTATGATCAGAGATAGGTGTCTTAATCACTTGAGCTATGCTCGGTTTGGATGCTCTACTTTTATTTTACTAGGCTAGAAATATATAACATATATGCAACATTTTAACTTGGACCAAATTCTTTTTAGAAAAAGATTAGAAAAAAGAAATAAAAATTTACTGTTAAATTTGGCAATCTATATCAACTTCCACTATGAACTTTTTATTTCATCAAATTGCATCTTAAACTTTGAGTGTGTTACAATCATTACCTTAAATTCGTAAAAGTTTTCGGGTTAAAATTTGCAAGTGGATCAATTTTGAGTATTGAACAAACTTAAGTTGCATTGAAACTAGCTAGTGAGTTTTTTAGATTTTTACATTACTTTTTATTAGAATTAGTGGGTTAATTAGAAGAGATGAAAGAGAATGCAACAATCATCTAATTGTAGGATCTAATTTGATGAAATTGAAATTTTATGGGTGGAAATTGATACACATGGCTAAGTATTGATTTTTTCTTAAATGATAATTTATTATTATTATTTTTTTACTTCAATAATACTTCTAAATTAAACTTCTAGTTAAATTTCAAAAACTAAGTTTTTTAGAACTGAAATTTGTTTGAGTGTGTTTTTTCAAAATAGTTTTATGAAACTATTTTATCAACTTATTTAAAAAGGAATTTATACATATATATGAGATTGTATCGAGCACTAATATATATTTCTATTGTTTATGACAAATGTTCCTTGCTTACTCTTAAGAACATCTAAAAGTTTTTTCTCAAAAAAAAATAAAATAAAAAACATCTAACACTTCATCTCTCAAGCTAATAGCTATTTCTTTTTATACAGCCAATCTGAAAATAATTCAACTGATTAAGACATATATCTTTTACTAGGGGTGTGAGTTCAAATACCCCACCCTCACTTTTGTTTATTAAAGTAAGCTATTTTATGATACCAACTCAATAAAATAAAAAAATCAAAATATTTGGAAAATTTCACTTCCAAAACAAGTTTTACATAAATAAAACTTTAATTTGAAAGTTTAAGAATAATCTTTTACAACCCTTCTCAAACATATCATTTTTGTTTCTAAAAATAGTTTTAAAACATAGATTATTACAAAACAAAACAAAAATTGTGTTCATAAACAAGATTTAGCTGAATAGTTAGGATACGAAAATAATTTTTAAAAAATGACCTGCTTTATATCTTAACCTAATCTTTGAAACAGAAAACCCAACATATTTAATGAAAAGACAATTATTAAAAAAAAAAAACCATAGAGGAAGAGAGATCAAATAAAGTCACAAAAAAACCAAAACATATATATATATATATATATATATATATATATATAAATATGGGCACTTTCAATGTTTTTTCTTCTTCATTTATTTCTTGGTCTCTCTATTTTTCATTCAAATATCCTCAAATCCTATAATAATGGGCTACCTAATTTCTACCCTTTGTCTTTCCTTTCATAAAGAAACATATTAATCCCTGAAAGGGCACAATTAACCTCTAAATTTAACAAAGAAAAAATCATATTAATTGAAGCTAAGGAATCCAAAATAAAGTCTAAGGCTAACAGCCCCTATTATCTACTAACAACTAATTTTCCTCTTTACTTTGTAGCTATCATCAACATCAAAACACCCAAAATTCTGTCAAAAAAACCAAACATATATATTTACAGTTTTATAGTTTTTTGTTTGGTGTTCATTTTTCATGCAGACAAAACCTAGAAGTGAGGGAAAAGGGAACACACAATCCCATATGTAATAATAATATTCCATTGTTTTTAGTTCAAAAAACAAATACCCCACTCAAAAATAGCTGATTGCCAACCAAGAAAGCTCAAAATTTTCAATCTCCAACTCAAAAATCATCAAATCTCATAGACAAGACTTTGCTCCAAAAAGTAAAAGGAAAAAACCCAAATCTTTTTTTTACACAAATAGGATTAATTTGTTTGTTTCCCCAATTACAAGCATCCATGAGTTAATTAGATCCCAAAAGAAAGAGAAGGAAGAAGAAAGAAATATCTTAAATTGAAAAGAGAAGAGAAGGGAAAGAAGCTAATTAAAAGTATACAACATCCACACATAAGGAAGAAGAAGAAGATGTAATTAACAATAATAATAAAAAGAAGGGTTCATAAGGTTCAATGGCTGACCTTCAAATGCCAACTCGGCTCAACCGTTAAGGCATCCGAAACCTTCTCTATTCAAACCGGTTAGTCGATTCCCGATCCGCGCTACTCTTTTTTTTTTGTTCTTTTTTTTTTTCCAAATCTAAACATTGACAGAGATTTGATGGATGGGGGTGTTCTTGATTTCTTTTTTCCTCTTCAAACCCTCAAATGGGGTAAAAATTGTGTGTCAGAAGGGTGGAAGTTGAACATTTTGCATATGAAGAGGCAAATTCAAGAACGGAAGGCCGGAATTTGATGGGTCTTGAAATGGGTTGTTGTTGTTGCTGCTCACTCCGCCACCGCTGCCACCGCCGCCACCGGACGATGGTTGTTGTACTTGTAGCTGCTGCTGCTGATCCTCCTCATCCAGTGGCAATCTCTCGTACGCCACATTAGTAAACGAAGCAGCAATCAAAATTACCGGTCCGGCCGCCGTTAATTCTCCGGCCACCGTTCCCCCCACCACCTGCCCTTGCCCTCCGGCCAAAAATATAGTCAAACTGGTGGCGCCCGGCGGAGCCGGCGGCGGAAGAAAAGATCCAGAGAGTGATAAAATCTCAAACCTCCCATGAAGGGTCAGCACTGCCCCGGCCGCCGCCGGCTGCCGGAGGCTGACATTTGTGACGTTGCCGCTGCCACTCAGAATACAGATCCCTCGCTGCCGGCGGCGAGCGTAAGCAGCGACGCAATCAAAGATGTCGCAGCCGCTGCCGACCTCTAGAATATGGACGCGTAGTGTGTTGGCGCTCTCGCGCGTGATGATCACCGGCGGCTTCGGCTTGTTCTTAGAACCGGGTGGCCGGCCCCGGGGGCGGCGGCCAACGATATCCCCCGACCCGGAGAAGGGTTGATGGGGATCATCGTCGTCGTGATCGCCGCCACCGCCCGAGGAGAAATGAGCTCCATGATTTGCTGGATCATCTCCAGGCGTTTGGAGGTGAGCTAGATATCTACTTCCTAAATCCAACCCAGCCATAGGCACATAAAAAAAATCTAGAGAAAAGTAAAGAAAAAATATAAAAAAAGAACAGAAATAAAATTTAAAATTCAGAGAGGGAAACAGAAATCAGAATGAAAATGAAATTGAAGGAGAAAATTTTGAGGTTTTTGTTTATATAAGAAGAAGAATTTGGAGTGCAAAGAAAGGGAAGAAGAAGAGAGGAAGAAAGAGGGGATGGAGAGAGATCAAAACGCAGTCATTTCTCTCACTCCCAAAAGTCTTATGAATATTTATATGAAAAAATCATTAATTGGTCCAATTTTTTCTTTTTTATGTTTTCAACTTCTTGTTGTTATTATTACTTTTTTAAAGTCTCTAATTTCTTATTGGTGTTCACGTTCTAACACGACTCTCAGTGGTTGAGCGTGGAACAAACGCGATTTGTATATGCTTCAAAGTAAAGTAGTGTTTGGGAAGTGCTCTCTTAAATACCCGTCACCTATCCTCTTATTTATAAAGAGAGTAATATCTTTGGATTGGTTCGAATGAATCGATTCGATTGAATTCAATCGGCAATAATGCTATCGAAATAGTGTTAGCGCAGGATGATCAAAATGGTTAAGAAAAGCCAATATACTATGCTTGCTCGATTTGAGTTTACTTGGTTTAAATGGGGTGGTTTGACCATGCTCCGATTTGGTGTTGCTTGGGTAATCCAATAACCCTTGAGTGGTTGGGTGGTTTCACCCTGATTCGGGTCGAGCATTCCTGTTTTGTGATCTCACTTCGGACGTAATTTTACACTCACGACAACTGTGTTGTTGTTATTATTAGAATATTACATCATATACCTGGTTGAAGATCCAAACCTTCTACTCTTTAGAGAAAATAAAGATGTTGATCTTAATTAACTACTAATTTATTTACTAGGAAGGAGGGATGGAGAGAGATAGAGGTTAAATTTAGTTGGTATGATTTGAGCAAAGTATTAATTTGATCCCTGGGTTTTAAAAATTTCAATTTAGTTATCTTGCTTTAGGATTAGCTTCCATTTGATCCCTATGGTTTTAAATGTTTCAATTTGGTCTCTATAATTTACACTTGGTTCCAATTTTGTCCCTATGGTTTGATTAAAATCTCACCACTCATCCCTAAATTATGTTTTACAAGTACCCACTTGAAAAATCCACCTTTTTTTTTATTTTTTTGCTCAACCCTAAACCTTAAATACACTAAACTATCACAAGTTACCCCAAAAGAAAATTGCTTCGTAAAAAAACATATCAATATGGTAATGGTAGGGATGATTTGTAAACTTTAACTAAATCATAGGAATCCAATTGAAACTTTTGAAACTGTGTGGACTAAATTGACTATATTCAAATTGTAGGAATCAAATTAAAAATTAAGACCAAATTATGTAGGGACTAAATTTAAAAAGAAAAAAACAAATTATATAGAGACTAATTGGAGTGTAACTAAACCATAAAGACAAGATATTGAGCTTTTTTTTTTTGTTGGGTTTAGTGATAATTAAAAAACAAGAGGTGCACCCTTGAAAGTCCACGATGAAAATGGATGGATTAATTAGTTATCTTTCCTAAAAAAAAATTCTGTATTCTTTCTCTTTTGACTTTTCAATTTGCCACTTGCTAACTTATTATGTAATACTAACCAAATATTCAATAATGGTATCTAATTTACTGTTAATATGGGTATAAATTTATGGTTAAATCATTAGTAACTTTTATTGATAGGTCAAAATTTTTAAATTCCTAATCCTATATTCTAAAAATAAAAACCATTATAAATCTCTCATGGCCACACTTGTGAATGATCTTTTAAGTTTATCTCACATATTTTTTAGTACAACATGCAAGGGTGATGATTCAAATTCCAAACCTCTCGATCGAAAATAAGTATCTAAATCAATTGAGCTATGTTCGGGTTGGCCACCCATCATTCTTTAATTCGTAATCAAACTTAGAGCTTCCAAAAAGTTATCTATACTATGCATAATTTTCTTTAATGGAAACAAGATTTTCGTCATCTTTAATATGTTGATGTCCAGTTTTGGAGAGGTCCACGTGGCCTTCAAAGTGGAGTTTTGTCGAATAAATGAGCCTACAACAACAATTCTTGATGTCGGTACGATATCTCGCCTAAAAGATTATGACGCTCAAAGTTAGTAATCGGAGTAAAAATAGTAGAGAACACCTTAGAAATTAGTGACATATTTTTTAACTTACTTGGCGTGGTGGCAGCGATTCTTTCCTTATAGGCGCTCATAACCGATCAGGAAGGACGATCGTCTAGGACGTAGTGATGCACCTTGTCGTATGGGATTCTGATGGGCAGGTGAGGACATTCTTGCCATGTGGAGGTACTGCCACCTGCCAAACTATCCCTCCTGCCGGCTACGACACATCTCCTGTACCGCACAGCGGGGTGCAACGTTCGTCGCACTCTTTCGTGCATACGTTCTTAACCGTCTATGGTCCCCTATTCAGCTATCGCCCTCTAAAACTTGACACGCTACCTGCTCAGATTTCTCCCTCAGTAATAAACAACAAACAGATTAAACAAATGAGACCATATAACCAAATCATGAGGCAGAAGCAAGAAATCACTCGGTTATTATCCTTTTTCATTTAATATTTTTGTTGGGGTGGGGGGGGGATGCCATATGAGAGATGATAATCAAGATGTTATTCTTCTTGTTGGGTTTGAAAAACTTTGATTGAGTTAAAAGCCTAGACCCATGGTTCAGGGGAACAAGTTTGACCATAACCCTTTGATTTTATTATTGAAACATGACAAAGTGGTAACAAAAAAGAAAAAAAAACATTAGAACATTAAAAAAACAAAACAAAACAAGGGAACCAAACAAAGGGATAATAATAATAATCAAAGCAAGTGGGAGGTGGATGACTATGGACCTCTTTTTTGTCTTGTTTCATCCAATGGCCATCCAATGGTTCCTTTGGCCATTGTCCTTATTTTGCTGCTTGTCTTTTCCCAAACCTCAACAATGGAAGCTCTCTAATTCCCAAGTTCCAAGTTGCAACACATTAAAATACATCTTAATTTAATCATATAACTAATTTAATTAATTTGTTTCTTAATGATTTTGTTTGTTGTTAATAGCCAAATTAATTAGAGTCTCATCTCGATAAAATTTAGTGAAGAGAAATCATAGCTTTATAAGAATCCTTTGTCTAATAATCTCTAAGACTTGGTCATGTGAAGGGAATCTTGTGTAGTATATGGAATTGAAAATAGTGAGTAAATAAGGAGAATTTTCCTTACCCAAACATTTCAAGGTGTGATAAGTATAGTTAAAGTCTATAGTTTTAATAGGGTGTTTCCCTTGCTATTTTGATTGGTATAATTTGAGGGTATCCTAAAGATTGGTACTTGAATTATTGTTTTTCTTAAACTACTAATTTTGCTTATATCACCACATAAATAGAAAAAATTTCAAATTTGTCATCTAATCTTTAAAAAGCTTTTTAAACACGACACGCCAAATTTTTAAAAAAATGGTAAACAATTTTGTTTACTTTATAAATTTTGGCGAGAATTTTAAAAACAGTTTTTAAAATAGGTAATTAGACAACAAAAATTATTACTATTTAAACTTGGTATGAAGGGAACTTTTTGGTCTCATTTTGTTTTAATCCCTTTAACTTTTATATTTTCTACTTTATTTTAAAATTTTTATAAGATATTATGTCAGTCCTTGTTGCTAGTTTTTTTTAGTACGTGTAGGTGGGATCCAAACTAATTTTTGATCATGTTAAAACAGTTTATCTAAGCTCAGTTTGAAGTGACTCATTTTTTTCAGTTGATCATGTTAACAAAAAAATTTAATTCATTTCGAAACCGCACATTTTGGTCCATGCATGTTCATATACATATTTATTAAACATAATTTAAAGATTAAAGCAAAATATTTTTAAGTTTAGGTATCCAAACAAATTCTCATTGGTTTCCACCACATCCTATTACCTAAGGCCTATGGGTTTTCTAAGATCCAAATCTTATACTAACAACACTAGTGTGAAAGTCTTGAATGGGTAATTTACTATATATTTTTATATAACCAACAAGCATCAAATAAAAAGTCATTATGCTTACATTATCAAGATGATTAAAATTTTGAATTAAACAAGTTTAGTCACAATTTTGTAAATCAATTCACAATGAATGCCCTCTTTTGGAGGTTGTCTAGCTAGTTTGTTTTGAATTTCAACAAGACATTGGGTTTGGTGAGTCATTCGATTGAGTGCTTTAATTTCTTATGTTTATAAGAAGTGACATTATAATCATATAATTATGACTTTGAGATTTAGAATTTGACTTGAGAGGGGAGAATTGATGTGATGATAGCAAAAGCTAAAGTTTTTGTTAGGTATAATTTGTGGGTTATGCCAATTTGCAAGAAAGTTGTTCAAATTTTTGTTTTTGGTAATAGAATAAAAGTTTGGGCATGAGAATACCACTTACATTTCTTTGAGAGGAAAAAGAAAAATAACCAGAACTTGAATCTAAGTCAACTGATTCACACATATATATTTTCAACTAAAAAGTTCAAACTTCCAATCCTCACCTCCATATGTTGTTGAACTCAAAAAAAAAAAAAATAATAATATTATTGTTTTTCATCTTTCAAAAATTAAATTTTATTTTTGATATTATAAAAAAATTCCAATCAAGTCTTTATTATGAGCATAACTTAGTGGTTGAGGTTGAGGTATCTTGGTACTTTCCCAGAAATGAGAGGTTTAATCTCTCATCGCATCTTTGTTATACTACAAAAAAACTAAGGTGATGATTATCTATAAATAAATTTGGTAATGTTTTGTTTCTCATTTTTACCTATAGAGAAACATAATAAGTGTATGATAACTCTTTTTTGTAAGGTTCTTATTCCTTATTCCCGTTTCTAGTTTTTCTCAAAAGGTTAATAAAAGCCTTATATGTTTTATTTAAGACATTAATTTTCATATAAAAATTACTTTTTATTTTAAAATTTTAGAAAACTATCAATAAGAAATAGTTACCAAAATATTTTTTAATTTCTTTTTTCAATAAGGAACAATAAACAATAAA